TTTTTAAAGCAGTAGTGATAATAATTTTCATTTTTTTCTGAATATTTTGGGCATTTATTCGTACGAAATAATTTTTTAAATAGTAATAGTAATAATCTTCATTTTTTTCTGAATATTTTGGGCATTTATTCGTACGAAATAATTTTTTAAATAGTAATAGTAATAATCTTCATTTTTTTCTGAATATTTTGGGCATTTATTCGTACGAAATAATTTTTTAAATAGTAATAGTAATAATCTTCATTTTTTTCTGAATATTTTGGGCATTTATTCGTACGAAATAATTTTTTAAATAGTAATAGTAATAATCTTCATTTTTTTCTGAATATTTAGAGCATTTATTGATACAAAATAATTTTTAAAACAGTAGTAATAATAATCTTTATATTTTTCTGAATATCTTGACTACAAACTAATTTTTAAGTAATGACAATAATATTTCATATTTCTATTCTCCTTGTGGAGCGCTAGAATCTTCAGCGATTATGTATAACAGTGTTCCTAGTGTTTACGAACGATACAGCACTATATCCCAATTTCCAAAACTTCAACATTTACAAAATCACGCTGAAAAACCCTTCAAACCTCGATCCCATTAAAATTCTCAACACAACATCCATCTCTTCCTCTCCTAACGAGTGCAACATTAAAACCTCTCAATCATCTCAACTATCACCGCCTAATCAAAAATGAATGCCCAAATGAAACATCGAATTCGTCAATTTGTCACGAAACTTCGAAAGGCAACGCTTCAGTCTTTAGAAGAACGAGAAAAACAAACGGGTAATTGGTTTCACGCGGCAGGAAAAACTTTCCCATAAGTAGATAAGGTCAGGCATAGCAAGACAGCGCGTGGAGCGCGGCGAATTAAGCAGCCAGCATCCCGCGTTGCGAAAGGCCCGAGCCAGGACAGGAAAGTGGCGATTTCGCTTAGGCCGGAAATTGTGAGATCGATATAAATTGCATCGAGGGCATACCGAAATCTTTTTGCTCGTCCGGCCGTTTCCCACGGGGGAGGCGTGGTTTGTTCGCGGAAAGGAACCGGAAGTGCTGCTGCTGGTGCTCCGCCGTGACCTGTATCACAATCACTTTCCCAAAAACTCGTATTACACGTTCGGTGTCAACGCTTACGTCGTCCGCTTGTGCTTTTCACTTTCGTGAAATCGATCGTCAGATTTTCACCTGGTTTCGTACCTGATTCCCCGCGAGAAAAACGAACAAACCGTCGATTACAGCCACTTAATAAATTATCCGCCGAGATATGAAAGTTTAAGGACGTGATTTTAGCTCGTCGGAAAAGAATCTCAAAAAGAAACGAATACGAACACAGAAATCTTCTAAAAGGGGCCATTCGAATGAAATTGGAAAAATTCTCCAAACAGTGACCAGTAAAAACTACTATCCATTCCCCCACAAAGTACGAAGAATAACGACCAACGTCCACTGCGCCGTACTACTTCCGGTATCAGCAAATTCTCCGTGAAAACCTCAGCCGTCGTCGCGAAGCAACAAATCCTCCCAGTGTATTAAGTTCGTATTACCTAACGCGGAACATTGTCGTATATCGGCATTACGCACGGTGGATCGTTTGTCTTCGAATCGGTAGATCGTTGGCAAAAGGAAACGAGGAAAACCGTACGAGGTGAAAAGAAGACTTGAGAAAGAAGCTCGAATAACAGCAACGAAACTCCCCTCGAATCACGTAATCGCACCAACTCCCTGATATTTTCTTGCGGCGGTGCGGCAACCGTCGTAAAATCTCTCCAAAACTTTTCACTTTACGATTCTACCGCGAATCTTAACGACCCAGCCAATGATTTAGCCGATCCATCGTGCAGACGACGTAACGAGTTTCTTCACTGAGCACCGCTACCACCGCCATTGTATTTAAATAGCCGTGTCTCAGAGGCTGTACCTTTTTTCCTTCTTTTTCGAACTGTAATCATTGTCGATCGTGTCGACGACCTCACGGACGACGTTCACTCTCGATCGATTCTCGCCTCTAGGTATCTCGTTTCCTCCGTGATTCAATTTAATGGATCCCCTGAGCAACCGATTCGAATGGATATGTTACGAGGTTACGATCTGATAGAGCTATTAGCCTGGTTAGCATCGTTATGGAAAAGGTATAAGTCTCGATCTCTGTGATGATTGTTAGAATGATCGACGGTAGAGAAACTAGCCGGTGTTCGTGGTGGATAGATCTACTTGTTAAGATCGAAGTGTCATAATTCCCCCTGCCGTATGGTTAAATTACGCGCGATGTTTCTACTTCCTTCATTTCGTGCGATATTAACCCCTTGACCTGTGATTTTTTTTTAAGCATGCATTTAGGTGCGAGTCTTTCAGTGTTTTAGTAGTGTATCGAGTAATAGTGTTGTAATTGTGTTGTAAATTAAATCGAAAGTTGGGATAATATTTTTCCAGGATTAGTTAAAATAATGTCGAAAACTATACTTATTTCTCCATCTGTCGTTGACTCCTCGTCCTTGGCAACAATGCTCTTAACGCGTCCTTAAACACTACCCTGACGCCCCTCTCTTGCCTCCGGGAAGCCCTGGCACAAGTTGGGGGTTTCGACCCAGCCCTTAGCGTGTGGGGGTGTCAAGGCGTTGGGACCGGGTTTCTCCGCAGATCCGACTCTCTACATTCACTCTACTCTCACAAATATAACTGTTTTTAGTATACCTTGAGTAGAGTTTCTGTGACGAGTTTGAGTCGTTAACCCTTCTGTCTTTACAAAGTAAAGAAATAACAGAAGTGTCCACGTGACAGTGGATAGATCACTTGTCAAGATCGAAGTGTCTTAATTTTCCTAACGAATGGTCGAATTATCCTTTCGTCCGATAAATATTAACGCTCTTTTATAGAAGTCGTAAGTTTGTTCTATCCTCGCAAGCTAGAGAAATAATATAAGCGACGGTGGATAGATCACTTGTCAAGATCGAAGTGTCTTAATTTTCCTAAAGAATGATCACATTATTCTTTCATCCGACGTAATATTAATCTTCTGTTCCACCCGTCGTGGACTGAGGCTACAAGTTCCTTTCGTCCTTAAAAACTACAGAAATAACATAAGTGTCCACTTGTCGAGATCGAAGCGTCACAATTCCCCCTAACAAATTATTCTTCAATCTGATAAACATTAACCCTCTTTTACACAGCTCGTGTACTATGAAGTCGCAAGCTTACTCTGTCCACGCAAACTAGAGAAACAGTATAACTGTCCACGTGACAGTGGATAGATCACTTGTTAAGATCGAAGCGTTCCCCCTAACGAATGATCAAATTACACGCAATATTTCCACTTCCTTCATCTGATACAATATCAACCCTCCCTTACACAGGTCGTGAACTATCTCCGCAAGTTTCTTTCGTCCTTACAAACTAGAGAAAAACTCTATCCAATATTACAACCACCTGTAGCTTTCACACATTCTCGAAAAGAATGAAATAACACTTACAGTAGTAAAAAAATTTGTTGTTAAAAATTTCAAGAAAACTTCACAGAGGAAATAGTTAATCTTTGCGGAGCACGTAACTACTCGTAATAGAGGGTTAAACCAACGTATAACCGTCGCAAGTTGAAATACGTAACAGCCGAGACAGAATGATAAATGAAAGGATTAGAAGCGTTAAACGACCGTCTCGTTGCATAGCTTTTATCGACGCGTAAACTAAAATTTCCCTCGAATCTCCACGCAAGGAGGGAGAAACGGCTGAAATATTAATTCGACGTCGTAACTCATAGAAACTACCGCGAGAGTGGAGAATTGTGACACACCCACCGAGCGAGAAATCGCGCGAGCACGCTCGAACGAGCTACTGAACACGGTCGATTGCCAAAGATAGGCTAATTAGGCATCGCGGGACGTACTACGGCTAAAACAGCTGCGAAAAGAAAGGCTCGTTACGCGTCTTTATTTTTCTCTCGTTCCAATTCTCCGCGTGATTTTTCCTCGACAACCGTCCACAGGTTTTTCACATTGTAACACGTATAAGCTGTTGGTTGTTGGTTCGTTCGTAATACTGTTGCAACCGACGTGTATAGAAAGCGCCGCCCCAGCGGTGATCTCGTTAAAGCCTAACGACGCACGAATTACGAGCTCCTCTTTCGAGGCAATTTGAATGGCCGAGAGTCGCTAGGTTGCGTTTCGTTGAATATATTTTTCAGGATACTTGTGGAAAAGCGTGATTTTCCCTTTTGCTTGTGCTCGCGGAATTGGAAATTGGTTGATATGTTTGGATAGGAAAAGGACAAGGGAAACCAAAAGTCAACGAGATTATATTTTAGGTTATATTATGTAGTTTTATATTTTTAGATGTTTACATTTGTAAGTAAAGTTTGAATGGTT